CCCCCCACCTATTCCCATCCTCCCTCCTTTTCACCTCACCCTTCTTGCCACACTGAGTTTGCCTCTGTTGCCAGATAGACAAAGTAGACATCAATTCCCACGAATACACCTTTGCGTAGCGAGTGGGCTGCATCTACGCCTGCCTACCAGTAGAGTAGTCTACTAGGCCACATTCGCACACCTGTGCCGAAGGGTTGCCTAGTACGCAGGTGCTAGATGCAACCCAGTAAACACCTATTTATGCGTGGGTAATTTGCCCACTCTATCCAGAGCCCCGCAACCTAGCGCGCACCTGATGCTCGTTTTGTTCAGAAAAGACGGTCGAACCGGAACACGGCTCCCTCTCGCTCCCACCTCTCGATTCAGCCGACGCCGACGCTCGCTCTTTGGGGGCCTCTGACTCTACCTGGCAACGCACTGCCTCCACACCTGGTGGAGCGCCCCGTGCACCTGTAGGGCTACTGTGCCGCAGCGCAGTAGTGCGGGCGGGTTGCCTACCCACCCGGTGACAGGCGCCGCCGTTGTCGGCTGCACCTGGCACCTGGCGAGGAGCCCGGGCCTGCCTTGCCTTGGGCCTGCCCTTTGCCCGCACTCCGCACTCGACTCCAGTGAGACAAACAAGAAGTGCAGGGGGAATTCCGCGCCTCTTGAAAGGAACAATCGCACTGCGGTTGTTCATAGCAAATCGACTTTATTTGCGATCGTTCAGACACGCGCTACGTCGTTTACTGTACGGAGGGCTCTCACTTGAATACTACACGTTTCTTATCCACGTCTCTGTGCGATTCGATTGGGGAGCGCGGAGACCTCAACGCCTGTGATCGGGGCTTGTGAAAGGGCCCTAAACGAGGAGCGTAGCCACCCCGCCACAGAGTGGCGACCCTACCTCATCAACGGTCATTTAAAATTACACAAGAACTTGGCGGAAACTGGTAAAAATTTCGCCGTAAACGTAAGTTTTATCTTCAAAATCGTCATTTTAGGCCACTTTATTGACGACATCTACGTCGCACCCATTGGGGCACCGATGTCCTGTGCCCCTCCTCGCCAAAGAGAAGAGCCCACCCAACCATAGCTCAGCAAAATCACAGTATCTGACCGACCGAGGCGACCGGTCGGCGGTCAGTACTATGACTCCACGCTTACCGCCTCTCGGTCAGCATACCACCTCTCACCTGCAGTTCGCGGTCGCTGCTGAGCCCAATAAAAGGCGGTCAGCGTAGGGTAGAGCCAGCGCTGACCGCCGGATGGTCGCCTGGGCGACCAGATACGGTGATTCTGCAGAGCTCTGTCCCCAGCCTCCCTAAATTTCTACAATTTTCAGAATGTGTCTCGGATCGATCATCTTTTTCAACTTTTTAAAAGGGTCAAAAATTCCTAATACAACTAAAATCCGCGAAGCCCGTTCTGTTCCCCTTTTAGGACTAAGACGCACCCCTCGAGCCTAAATTAAGCTACCACGACTACTTTTATAAGTGGTTGACTTACTTGAACACGGGCGGCGCGTAGATCTGGTTGATGTGCTGCGGGACGTGCTCCTGCTCGTGCGAGTGCTCGTGCGCGTGCTCGTGGACGTGCGCGTGGACGTGCGCGTGCACCTGCACGTAGGGCTGCGAGTGGTAGTAGTAGTCCTCCTCGGAGCGCGGCGGCGTCAGGCTGCTGGGCGCCGGGCTCACCATGGACGCGATGGGGCCCATGGGGGGCACGCCCATGTCACCCCAGTACGAGCCGCAGTCACCTAAAACCCACACACGGCACTTAGTTTAATCTGAAGCTCTACAAGGAAAGTCCCAGACAGCAAATAAAATTGTCAGATGTTCAGGGAAACGCATGACTTTGTGAACTTCACGAACGATGACCAGACCCATCACGCACTGGACACACAAGTTTGTGAATGTCGCACACTTTCGTAGGCGTGCGAACGCCCATGCAAACTCTTGAGGAAGTACAGGTGTGGATTCTCTCATGCAATTCACACATTTGTGGGCCCATGTGTACGAATGCTGTTCACGCACCTACAGGTGCGCGATATTCACACACTTGGGTCTCCGCGGTGCGCGCGGTCATGCCAAACAGGCACCGCGCGGCCGCGGGGTAGTACAAGTACACACACACACATACACACACGTACCGACGCTCTTGGAGTGCAGGAAGGTGAAGGGCCGCGGGGGCGCGGGTACGTATGCCATCGCTGCGAGCTGCACCCCTGCGGGGGTCCCTGCGGGGGTGCTCGCGGCGGGGGCGCTGGTCCAAGCAGACTCCTGCGTGGACTGAGGGGAGTGGCGAGTCTCTGGGCGGTCTTGTCAGCAGAACAGCACGCTGCCGATGATCACGGGGTCGTGGTCACGCCGCGTGCGATATCCAGGAGAGGGACGACTTCGCGGACCTCGCGGACTTCGCACGAATGGCGAGGACGACGAGACGGACGGACGAGGACACGCGACTGTTCTGGGCACTGGCTGATCACCGACTGACGTCGAGGCTGGGGAGAGGGAGAGAGGCTGCTGAGGATGCTGGGCTGGGGCTGGCGCAGGCTGGTGGTACAGCAGCGGCAGCGGCGCGCTCATTGGCTGCACCGGGAAGCTGCCGCCGTGGCTCCGCCCACACTCCCGCACCCTCCCGCTCCCCCGCCCCCTCCTGCCCAGCTTTATCCTGCTCCTCTCTCTCTGTTTGTCAGCCTCCC